ACCCCACTATATAAATTATGTATAGTGCTTGCACTTCCTTTCTACTGACCCAACTCACACGCACATCATTATCCCAAAAATTAGTCATTGGTTTATAATAATAAACCAATGACCAATTTTTGAAAATCAATATGAGCAGCAAAGAGGAGACAATGAACTTTGGATAGAAAATTACTGTTGATTCTTCCCAATTAATGATCTCAGTCAAATTCCAATGATTACTACTATCAATAAACCAACAACCAAACGTACCAAACAAATGCATATTTCAGATACCATAGTAAACGCCCAATGGCCAAATCACATGCCCTCCACTCAGTTTAATGAACATGAGTGAATGACCAAACATATATGCTTAGACAAACAAAAATATCAATGACTAATGTATTAATCCCTTCATAATAGAGATGGCGGAAAAATGAAGGCCACTCGGCAGCAAAAACGCCTATCCCCCGTGAGATTGTCAAAGTTGGTGTACCCCGTCCGATCATCAGCAATTATGGCCTTCACATGCATAAACCGGAAAGGGCATTGATATCCCAAGTCACCTTACTACTTGTATTCGTTCTATCTCGCATAGGTACTTGTAAAACCCACCAAGCAACAGCACACCATTTGACCCAATTTCATAGATACTGATTGTTCTCATTCTGTGAAACCAAGAGCCATCTGTGAGATACAGTACACACCTATAATAATCTGTCTTAAAAGATTTACATAAGGAAACCCTCCCTTTTTATACCCAGTTCTTAAAAAATGTTATCAAATATTAAAACTTGAAATGAACAATCCACATGTTGAGTACTACGATGCTTATAATCACAAAGAATCAGATTTTGAGTAACAGCAATGCTGATCACCTGATTGTGGAGTTGCAGCCGCAGACACCATTGTAATACCCTCTGCCAGTATCGAATTAGCCATATATTATATATGTCCCAAGGGATGTAGTGCATTTTCATTTGGTAATTCTTTTTCAAATCTAAGAATATACCATTATAAATAAAACCCCTTGTTAAGGACATGTTACCTAGAAACATTTAAAGGCATTGAACACAACATCACAATATTAGTGATAGAACCATCTACATTTCACATTGTACCCCAAAATATTGATAGATGTATTACCATATTTCAAAATAAAATTAATCACAAGTACTAGTAATTTATATCTAAATATATATAAAAGAATTTGATCCAGACTACACTCGAACATCCCCACTTCATGGATTAAGTCATTCGCTGTACACACTACAATAACCTGATACACACCACAGTCCATCAAAGAACTAATTAATAAATATCAAAAAAACAAATGTATTGTCCACACATTTTTACATTAATTATATTAAACCTTGAGATTGAAGTGAACAAAAGTTCCGAGACATAAGTTAATGAACCAATCAAAACAGAAACAAAAGAAAATTGAAACAAAGATCCATATACAAGTTATCACAATATTGTACACATATAAATTTGTGACGTATGTACCATCTAAAACACTGTAATATAAAATCATCACCACCCCTCACATTACACCAAATTAAACAAATCACTACCAGAAAAATAAACATCTATCTTACATACTATCCCACTAAAAAAGAAAACACCAATAAAACCCATTATGTCTACAAAAAACCCACCACTCCCATACATATAATCCTCCCCTCCCCCAACCACAACTTATCCATATACACACACAAAAAAATATAAACTAAAATCATACCACCCCACCAATTAATGCAAACCTAAATACACACCTTACAAAACATTCAACTACTACCCATTATCCTACAATAATTCATATACAAAACAAGACCAATAAAAACAATAAACCACAATAAATTAAACCAAATCAACACAAACATACTCAAACAATAAACTCCAACCCCAAACAATTTGAAATTATATAATAATCATTAAACACTCATCCAAATTTACACACCTTTACATATATTCCATCTTTTTTCCTTATCTCAACCAACCCCAACAACACAATCCCCAAAATTATCCATAAAAAAACATCCAACCACACCCATATCCCTCATCCCATACCTAAAACACAACTGATTTTATTCAACAATCCTGTCCCCTACCACTCCACCACTATTACTCATCTTCAATTCGTTCACCAATCCATACTCACATAAAACAACCCATCAACATAATACACTATAAATAATAGGATCTTACACAACCCACTCCCCATCCCCCCTTACAACATACCATCCATACCTCCTCTCACCATCAAATTACAAATACTTCATTATTCTTCATTTTCCATACATTCCACACATATCCCCTCCTACCCAAATCAAGACCCAATCTAGTAATACTCCCACCCTTTTTCTCTTTATTTCAAATAAACATCTTCATTTTTCTTTCCTGTCATCTCAATCTATTCAATATCATCCCCCTCCATATCCACCATCTCAAACCAAAAACATAAACAATAATTACAACACATAAAACCCACCTACATAAACCCAACATCCTCAACCCCTCACATTACTCACCCTACATATCAAACTACATCCTCTCCAATCACATAACAACCCCTTACATAAACCAAATCCATCCTCCCCATCACCAAACAACCCCCCTATATTATCCTACACATCCATCCTTCAATAAACTTAAAATCACACATACATAAACCCAACATCCCTCACCTCACCATAAAATATATCCCACCACATAAATATACCAACTCACTTAATCTCATAACCATAATCAAACAACCCTAAATTAAACATATATATGTACATCCAGCTCTAGTTATACCCAACATATCATAAACAAACATATATACTTCATAAAAAGATAGTTACAGTGATACAATCAAACATCCACATTATCCAACCCTTACCCTAAACATTAACCACCCCCCACCCCCAAATATTCACAATATACGCCACATCCAGAGTCAAACGTCCCACAATACCAACCATAATTCCCGGATACCCAATGAGTAATACTATTTACTCACCCCACCAACTGGTAACCAATCCCCTATTTGGTGTAATCTGAAAACTTTCCCAATTTGACACCCTTCTATTATCATATATTTAAACCTCTTCTAACCCCCACACCAAAACACCAATACAGATAACCTAACACCCAACTCAGACAACCCAACATTATCACCTACTCATCAGACATCTAAATTCCATTTATAAATTCCCCTCCAACATCTCCACCCAGTAAACCAGAACTACAAACAACCCAAAATCAACACAGATCATAACCCCTTATCCTTAAGCACATACACATAATATTACCACTAATTATACTACACTCCTATTCGACTAAAACAATCATATTAACCTATTTCCACAAATAATACCCCACCCCCACTTTATCATATTCTCCCTCCACTACTTTCAATTCTACTTACCCTCTTTCATTTAATATCACTAAATCCCCCACCCCACCAAATTTAACTATTCAAAAAACAAACCCGACCCAATAGAATTATAAACTACCAAGCCTTAAATATCACACAAAACACTCAGTTACAAATAACCCACCCCCCATATCAAAAAAAATCCATTATAACCTAATTAAACCTAAACACACCCAAAAACCCCCAATTGCCCAGTCCTACACTGCTTGATTAAGCAACTTTTTTCTCAGGTACATTCCATTAGACAACCTTATACACCTCTACTTACACCTCACATATCATTTAACTTACATGAAAATTTCCCATTCCAATGAACAAAACATACATAGTTACAGAACTCTATAACTTTACCCATGATATTTTAACATAACGTTTAATATCATAATTACTAGACATTTTTAACTATCTCTATTACAATTTACTTCATTTATATCCCTCCTTCATATACTAACACAGTCTCCATACATCTCATCTCTTTTGACCCTCCTATCACTTTGCCATCTCTTCTTAATAACCTTACACTATCTTATACACACAACCCCCCTCACAACATAATACCCTACACACACAACTATACATACCAATCAAATTAACATCAATAAAACTACCAATCATAAAAATACAACCAATATAACCTTCCTCACCTATATCCACAATCCACCCCCCCACAATCCTCATACCGTCACATACAATTTAACACCTTTCCAATACACCCCATAAACCCCATATGCCCACTACTCCAATCACATATCTAACCTTAAATCACTCCCTAATAAACCCAGCTCTAAAGTCGCTTCCTGCACAATCTTTCTAATCATGCCACAATATGCACTAACCTCTTACTCATAAATCCCCTCCCTCTTGTGATACCGCTCCTCTAATCAGTAATCCCTCCCCAGTCAGTTCCCACCAGAACTTACCCCCAGAAATATCCCCACCATTACCCACATATATATAAAACAATCAAAACCATAACTACCCACTAAATCAAACATAAAATAAAATTCCCACCCCACTCACAAACAACCCACCACAAAACCCTCCCTTCCACCTCCATCAACCCTCATTATTCAATCCAAAAAACCCCAATACTTTATTCAATTCTCTTCACTCCTTTTCCCCAAATTCCCCCTTCCTCTCAACCCATACATAAAACAAACTCCAACATCCACTTACCATCTTAATACATAAACACCCCTCATAAAATCCCCTTCATATAACATTCTTCCCATAAATACCCCTAATACACATTCAATAATCCCCCAATCAATACAACCCCAACAACTCCCTCCTATAAAATCACCCTTCTACCATCCTTTTATTAACAAACCAAACCACCCCAATATACCAAAAACACTCCTCACACCCAACTTAACCACCACCACTTTCCTTTCAACCGATACATCTCCCTCTTACCAACACCGCCTTAACCCTATTCATTAAACAACACCTCAAATTCTCTAAACACCCCTTCCTACCACCCTTCTCCAAAACCCACACCCCTCCAGCATAAACCCCTTCATCTTACCATTTAACTCATATTACCCTTCCCACTAACCCAAACCTTCCACCTTCCTTTCCCCTCTTCCTACCCTCACACCCCCACCCAAACCATACCCCCACCCCCAACACCCCCTCCACCAACCCCCCTCCACCCCCCTCCCACCAACCCCCCCCACCCAACCCCCCCACAAACACCTACCCCAACCCACAACCCCCCCCTACCCCCCAAATCCTACTACCACCCCCACCAACTCCCCTACTGCAATCATATCCTAACTACCCTCAACCTTCATATCACACTTAACCTACCGTAAATCAAACCCCCCACCTTCCAAACATATACCCCTAAATCCCATAATTCCCCCCATACATCCAATTAACAACCACCCTTATATACTTCTTCACCCCACTTCCCACTCACATCATATCTAGATAATTCAATACTTTAATTAATCCTTTCATTACTCCCCTTCACAAACACTTCCCCAATCCCCCCCTCCTAACATTATCCCATTACATACCAAATCTAACCACACACAGATCCAAACCCCAACCAAACACACTAACCCACCATCAACCAACCCCTCATACACATAAAACAGTAGTAATAATCCTTACTATATCTCCCACTACCCCCCACCCCCCCCTATCCCTACCCTAAACCACTAACAAAAACTTCACACCCCACCTTTATTTACATCACCCTCCTTACCCCCACCCCATCAATACCTATATCACTTTTTATCCACCTTCCTTATCACCCCATCTACCTGAAAAATCCCCCACACTCACATCCTAAAAAGTTTATCTAAAACCATCATCTATTTGTCTTTTTACATTAACACCAAAATTCCTTTCACTTACCCTCTGTCATCCTACAAAACACCCATTCAACATCCCCCCATCAACTTTTCTTATATAAAAAACACTCATCCACCACAACACATCATAATAAAAAATAAACCCCAACACCCAATACCATCATCCCCACTTATCTTCCAAATCATAATAAAATCAAACAACCTCACACTACAACCACCCACATCTTCTCCCATCCCCACCCCCTTACAACAATAACCAACCCATCTCTAAATCTCCCCTCCTTCCCCATAAATCAACTTCTACCCACACCCCCCCCCACCATTTCCCCACCCCCTCTCCCAAATCAATTCCACCTCCCACCCCCTAAACCCCATCGCACACCCCCCCCCCCCAACACAACATTTCCCCACCACTTCCCCCTCCACCCACACATTTATATCATACATCATACACAAACATTCTTTTTTCTTTCTTTTTTTTTTTTTTTATCCCTCGTTACACAACAAACAAAAAAAAAAAAAAAACATAACAAAAAAAATAAAAAAACAAAACAAAAAACAAAAACACAACAAAAAAAAAAACCCAAAATAGAAAAAAAAAAATATACAAAAAAAAAAAACCAACAAAAACAAAACAACACAAAAAAATATTTTTTTTTTTTTTTGTTTTTTTATTTTTTTATTAAAAAAAAAAAAAATCACAAAACAAAAAACAAAAAAAAAATAACCAAACCAACAAAAAAACAACAAATTTCTTTTTCTTTTTTTTTTTTTTTTTCTTTTATTTATTTTTTTTTTTCTTTCTTTTTTTTTTTTTTTTTTTATTTTATTTATTTTTAAATATTTTCCCCCCCCCCTATTTTTTATTTTTTTTTAAAAACAATAACAAAACAAAATAAAACCAAACAAAACAAAAAAAAATAAAAAAAAAACAAAAAAAATTTTTTTTTTTTTATTTTTTTTTTTAACAAAAAATCAAAAAACAAAAAAAAACAATAACCACTATAAAAAAAAAAAAAATATAATAAAAAAATAAAATAAAAACAATAAAACAACTCAAAACATACTTTAAATAAAAAATAATAAAACAAAAAAAATAAAAACATACAAAACAAAAAACCCCAAAAACCAATCACAAAAAACAAAATAAATACAAAAAAAACTAAACACTACAAAATTACCAAAAAACAAAAAAAAAAAACAAAAAAAAACAAATAAACTAGACAAACAAAAAAAAAAACAATAAAACCAAAATAAAATACACAAAAACACAAAACAATAAAATGCAAAAAATAAACATCTAAAAAAAAAACAAAAAAAAACAAAAAAAACAAAATAAAAAAAAAAAAAAAAACCCTTTTTTTTCCCCCTTTTTTTTTTTTTTTTCAATTTCTCTTATTTTTTTTTATTTTTTCTTTCTTATTTTTCCCAACAATCTCCTTTTTTTTCAGCATTTTTTTTTTTATTTTTTTTTTTTTCATTTTCTTTAAACAATAAACAAACAAACAAAAAAAAACACCCCACAACCAAAACAAAAAAACCAAACACAAAAACCAAAAAAAAAACAACCAACAAAAAAAAAACAAAAAAAAAACAAAAAAACCCCCAATCCCCCCCCCATCTCTTCTTCACTCCCAAACCTACCACCAACCTACCACCAACCAACCTCACCATTCCCAAACCCCTCCCTTCTACCCCCCTCACCACAACCCCCACCTATCCCAATACAACCCACCCCCCCTCCCATATCTAAATTTCCACCCTACCCTCTTCCTTCCCATCCTCTCCACATCCCCCCCCCCCCCCCCCACCCCCCCCCCCCCCCCCCCCCCCCCCACCCCCCACCAATAAAACACTGAAACTTTCCCCCTTCTAACCCCGTCTTCCACCCACCTCCTCACCTTTCTACCCATCACACCACCCCTCGACCATTTCACTTCTAACCCCTGCCCCATAATCATTCTTCTCTCGTTATCCACACCCACCACATCCACATTATCCCCCCATATACTTTTCCCTCTATTCATAACTCCTCACCTCATTAATTCATGTATTCACACCCCCACCCACCCCCATAATAAAAATCTTAACCCCAATAATAACATTACCACCCCCCCACACCCCCCCCAAACCAACCCCTCACCAAACCCCAAACCTCCACACATATTAACCCTCCCCCCCCCTACCTTCCACCCCACCACACATTTTCTCCCCCTTATTTCCCCTATTATTCTCAAGATCAACATCCTCCTCCTTACCTTTAACATATCCTTCCTAAATCAATAACACCACTATACTTTACTTAAACCCCAACCCCACCCCCCCCCCCCCCCATACTAACATACATACACTCTATCCTTCACTAAAACTCACATAATTTCTCAAATCATCACCCCTCCTAATCCAACCCACCACCCATACAATTCCATCCATCCCCCCCACACCCCAATCACCTTAATATTTATCCAATCACATACCCCATACAACCATCCACCCCAAACCACCCACCCACCACCCAATCCATATCCACCTATCCACAATCCTTCATTTATCATCACACCCCTATAAATAATCAATCTACCCTCCCCTCCCTCATATATCTCCTCCCCCACATATCATCTCCCTCATTATTCATCTAATCCTATTGCCCTCGCCCTCCTTCTAATTATATCTACCTATCCCACTATTCTTATTCCAATCCAATTTCCATACTACATACCCAATTCCATATATCCCCACACCTCCTTCCCCAAAATTCACCTTCATCACCATATCTTCTCCTTTTACCCAACCCCCAACCTCCTTTCCCTCACTCCCTCACCCCCTCCCCTACTATCTCACCCCCCCCTAAACCATACTATACACCTAATATTTTAATACTTCAATTCACCCTTAAAAAATTACCTCTCATCCACACCCCCAATACCCCCCCTCCACATTTCCCAATCCCCAAAAATAATCCATACCATCTCCCCCATCACCAATCCCCCAAAAAACAAATAACATCAAACCCCCCCCTAACACCCACATAACCCCCCCTCCCCCCACCACCCCCTACAATAACCAAAACCCCCCCCAAATACCCCCAATTCCCTTTCCATCCATTTCAAAATTCCTCTTCACCTTCAAACCTCCCCTTACATCCCAACCCCCCCATAAAAAAATAACCCCCATTTCACCCTAACCCATTCCCATACATACAACACAATTCCCCCCACCACCCTCCCCTTCCCCAAACCAAACCACCACCCTAACATAAAACCAAACCACCCCCCCAATAAATCTTTTCCCCCACTATCCTCCCCCCCCCCTTCCAACCACCCTTTCCTCTCATACAAACCCCCCCATAACCATCCCCCCCCCCCTTTCCCACCTACATCCAAACTCCCATTCCCCCCCACCCCAAATACAACACCCCCCCCAACCCCAAATAACTCCCACCCCACACTACCCACCACACTCTACCACAACACCAAAACCCCCCCCCACACCCACCTAAATAATAATAATCTCTCTCAAAACCACTCAACAACATATCATCTCATAACCATCACACCCCAAACCTAATACAACACACCCCCTTTTCAATATACCCTTACACCCTACCACTCCATCTTCCCAAAATATAAACTCCCCTCTATTCCCTCCCCCCACAACATTCTTCCTAACATTTAAACCCCTATTACACACCCTCCCCCAAATATACCAACCCCCCCCACCAATCTCCAACCCTCCCATACCCCAAAACTATCCTACAAATAACCCCCACACACCCCACCAAACACCCTATCACCCCCATTAACCCCCCTCCCCCAAATATCCCTAACCAACCAAATCCTCCACACATTCACCAACCCCCCCACCCCAACCCCATACCCCAAACCCCCCCCATAAACCCCCCCATATAATATCCCTACCCACCATAAATCTAATAAATCCCCCCTACATTCACCCAATATATCCCACCCCCACCCCCCCTCCCTCCCCATTTCCCCAAAACCCTTATCCCATCCACACCCCCCCCACCCCCCCTTCCCATCCCATCTAAAAAACCTCTTATTCACAAACTCCCACCCCAACCCATCCCCATCTAACTCCTAACCCCCCTACATCCCAACCCAACCCTTATTCACTCCACCTTTCTTATCTCATTTCATACACATTCATACCCTTTCCACTACCTCCCCCCCCCATACACTCCCCATATCTACCCCCTCCTTCACCCAACTTAATTTCATCAAAAATTAACACCTTACCTATCCAACCCCCTCCACCTCCCTTCCCCCACCCCCCTCCTTTCCACCCACCTCCACCATCTACTCACCCCATCCCTCACCCCCCACCCTCACATTCCCCCTCATAAATCTCCCCCCCACAAAACCAAATACCCCCATCCACCCTCTCCCCCCCTCTATCTTCTCCTCCCTCCCTTTCCCTCCCCAACAACCCTATATCCCCCAACCCACATATTATATACTACCAAAAAAACAATCCTATCCAAAACCTCACCCTTACCCCCCCCCCCTCATCTCTAAACTCAAAATAAACCAAAACTACCTTTTCCTAATCATCATTCCTCACCTTACATTCTCCCCCCTCTCCCCCCCCACACCCAACCACCACCCAACCTCCACCATAAATATATACTATTCCTTTCCCCACCTCCTCCCTCTTTCCCCATCCCCCCTCTCCCCCCCCTCCCCCCCCCTTTCCCTACAACATCCCTCCCCCCTTAACCCCCCCCATCCTCCCCTATACTCCCCCCCCTACACATCTTCTCCCACCATAACAATCCCCCCCACTCTAAAATTCCAACAAACCCTTTTCTAAACCATCCAAAAAAAAACTCTAAAAATCCCCATAACCCCAAAAACCCACCCCCCCCCCTACCAATTCTAGTACAAAAACTCACCCCCCAATCACCCCCCACTTTCTAACCCCCACCCACCCCACATCCCCCCACCCCACTTTATCCCCTATTCATCAATTCACTCCCACTCTCAACCACTCCCCCCTACCCATTTAACCTCCACCCCAAACATCAATTATAAATCCATTACACCCCCTATACATCTACTTAACCACTTTTCCCACCCCCCCCCCTTATTCCACACCCCACCACCCACCCTTACCCCCCACTCAATTCTTCTAACCCATACCCATTCTCACCCACCCAAACATTTATTATATCTTTCCCCCATCCCAACCATACCCTCCTCAAATATTCCAATTACATATCCTTCCTACACACCCACCTAAACAACCAACCAACCCCCAACCCTCACTCACACCATTATACCTACCCACCCCAACTCAAACCACACCCAACCCCCCCCTCTCTAAAAACATCCAACAACAATCCCACTCTAACAAATTATCACACACCCTTATCCCCCCTTAAACCAAACCCTCCCATACACATAAAATCAATTCCCCATAAAATATACACTATCACCTCTTCCCCCATATTTCAACAAACCACCACCCCTCACAATCCATCCCCCAACCTCCCAAATACAAAACCCTACCACACCCAAATACAAATCTGAAAACAACAACCACCCACAAACTACCAAAACCACCCCCTAATTCCCTAATTTCCAAACACTCCAATTCCCCCCACCCCCCCCCCTCATCTCATATTAATCCTACAACCCAACCCCCCCCACCACCCAACAACATTTTTACACAACCCCCATTATCAACAACAAACCCCTCCCACTAATACAACATCCCCACCATCTTCACCCCCATCTCCCCCACCCCCACTCACCTCCCAAACCACCCCCCCCCCCACTTCCACACTAAATTTTCCCCCACCACAAAATCATAACTCCCCTCCTTCATTCCACACCCCCAACCTAATCCTATTTATTCCTTCCATTATTATTCTCTCCCAGATAAAAAATCTACAATACCAAAACCACTAAATACCAATAACAATTCCAATCACCCCCTCCCTTCACCCCCCCCCACCCCCAACAGACCACTACCTCTTTTTTACAAGAAACCAACTTACCTATCTACACTAAATAAACAATACCATAACACATCCCTCCTTAAACCCTCCCACTTACACCCACCTCTCCTAAAAACCATAACCCTCACTAAAAACCTTATCACTCCTCCCTCCCCCAACCCTACCATCCCCACCCCAACATCACAACCTCCTCACAATCCCCATTACCCAACTTCTCCCCATTCTCCCCACATCTCCCAATTTTCCCCCATCACCCCAACCCCCTACATTCTTTCTTATCCAACCACCCTTACTTAACCACTCACCCCACCCTTCCTTTCCTTCCTCCTTATTCCTCCCCCCAACCACAAAATCCAACTAAAACTCACCAACCCCTATGATCTTAACCTAAAAATTATACCATCTACCTCTTAACCTTAACCTTTAACTTTATTTATTTTAACAACATATTTCCATTCATTACCTAAACTCCCCCATCCACTTAATAATTCACACAAACCCAACTAACCCTACCCCATAAAATAAACACACACTATCTCCCCCCCACCCTCCCCCCCTTCCCTACCAACCATATCCCCAACACTACTTCAATAAACCCATACCCAAAAATTCCAACCCATATAAACACCACCCCTCCCCCTCTCACCACCCCCCCCACCCCCATCCCATCTACTCCAACCCCACATATCTTCAAACCCAACAAACATCAACCCAAAAAAATCCCAAATACAAACTAACCACACATAACCCCCCCATTCTAAACAACCCCACCCCCCTCCCATCTTTCACATTATAACCCCCCCTATCACTCCTTTCCACCCACATCAATCCACCCCACCCAAAACCCCAATTCCCCATCTCTCCACCCCCCCATATCACCCATCATATAAATCCCAACACTCCATCCACTCACCACACCCCCACCCCCACCCACATACCACCATCCACCCCCCAACATCCACCTAACCTACACTACCTCAACCCCCCCACTCCCTCAAAATCCCTCACCCACACCTCCCAACCCCCCTAACTCACCTTCCCATCACACCACCCCCCCCACACTCACTTCTCCAATACCCCCACCATAAACCATACCATAATTACCCCCCAACCTAAAATACTACAACAAACACCTAACACCTTCCACCTCCTCCATCATCCCACTACCCTCAACAATCCCCCTTATTCCTTCCACATATCATAATCCACATCCCCTCTCACTCCTCCACCTTACACCTCCATCTATCCCCATACACTCCCCTCTCTCACATCATTCCCCACATTAACCCCAATTCTCCAAAAATAAAAAAAAAAATAAAATAAAAAAAAAAAAAAAAAATAAAAACAAAATAAAAAAAACCCAGAAAAAAAAAAAAAAAAAATCCCATCCCCCCCATTACTAAACAATACTTCTTCCAAAAATTATTTCATGATTCCCCCAAATAAAAACCAACCCCACAAAATACACCCCCAATACCAAACCATACATCACCCCACACTCTATCCCAACCCAATATAAAACCTAACCCACAATATAACATAAATCACCCCTCCCCCCCTATACTAACCCCACCACTCCACCATTCCCCTTTCTCCTCATCATATTACCATCACATCCACATCCTCACCCTATCCCTCCCATCCCTAATTTCACCTCTCTCTTCCCAAATCTCCCCCTCTCCCCTACCCCCCCATCCCTTCCCCACTACCCTCCCCCTCCCCCTCCTTCCCTACTACCCTCTCCCTACCCCCCTCCATCCCTATACCCAATCCCAAATACCCACTCTCAATACATCCCCCCTCCTTCTTCTCCACGTCTCCCCTCTTCACGCCCACCTTTCCCCTACCCATCTACCACTCCTCCACTCCACACTTACCTTTTCCCTTACCCCAATAAAAATAATTTAAAACAGATCCCAAATAAACTCCAATTAACCCCATATAAATTTTTATTTATCAACTACTTCTATCAAATCACTCTCAACCATTCCCATTCCCACCCCTCACACCATATCCCCCTACACATAACCCTATACCATCCACTCCTCTTCTTACCAAAAAACCACCCAATCAACAATCCTCACCCAAACCAACAAGTAAATCTCCAAAAACATCTATAATATATACATATATTATCCCCCCCCCCCCTACCCCCAACAAAAACCACATCACCCACTACTATACTCCCCCAATATAGCCCCAAACCATCTTCCAATACCACCATATCCCATAATATTGCCTTATATATACATAATTTCCATACTCTCATAACACAGTAAATACATCATTACATCAGTATACAACACAACAATACCAACCTCTTCCAATACATCCACATATATCCACTATAATAAACCTCCCATCATTGATCCATTCACCCCCTCATTTCCCATATCTATTCCATCATCCAAATACCCCACTCCCACTCCTTTATTATACCATAAGCCCAACACCACCCCAACCACACCTCCACGTATCAAAATCCACCCCATTCAAAAAGTCAAACACACCTCACTCCCCATTAGCACTTCCAACTAAGAAAATTCACACTTTCCAAATCCTTCATCTCAACCCCCAAATCCCCCACAACTTTTTTTTTTTTTCACATCAACTAACATAAAAAAAACCCCTATTTCAATACTATCCAAAACCCCACCCCACCCCAAAACCATATCAACATCCCTCAATACCCTACATAAAAACAACCCCACACCATTTCAACCTACCTCCATCCCCCAACATAAAATAAACCAAACACCATATCAACCTACCCCATCATCCCCACATATAAAACCCCAACACCATATCAAACCTTCTGGCAAAATATTCCAAACACACCCCCATTTCATCCAATATTAACACATAAATACACAAACCCTAAAACAATCTCCATCCCCCCCTACCCTCCATTAAACAACCATAAAACACCCCATCACATTATCAACATACCCTCACAATACACCCCCCCTACCACAAAAAAAAATCCCCCCTTAAAAAAAAAAAACCCACAAACACCATATCCAACCTTACCTCCATCCCCACATTATAAACTCCAAACACTATCAACCTACCATACATCACCAACTTTTACACAAATACAACCCACCACACACCTAAACAACCAACACCATTTAACCCCCTACATTAATTACCCACAAACCTCCTCCCAACCCACCCCCCCTCCTCAACCCCCCCCACCTCCCCCCCCACTCCCCCATATACCCCTACAACCCACAAAAGCCCCATCCCCATAAAACATAACTAAAGATTAACCTCCCTTCCCTCAACCACCCCCCCCGCCATCCTCATCCCCATACATTTCACTCTACTACCAACATTCCCTCCTCCATAAAAATACTCATTACTCTTCCTCACTACCCACCCTCACCCCCTCACATCCTATACAAAACCCTCTTCTTCCATTCTCCCCCCCACCCCACCTCCTCAACACTAATATCAATAATCATTTCCAACCTCTATCCCCACAATCATATGTTTCTCTACCCCTCCAACATCCCAATTCACTAAATCATCTAAAACCCCCAAACCCCACCCTAATCCAAAACACCTAGTTCTTACACAACAACATTCCCCCACTTTACCCCATACCCTATATACCCCACCCTTATCTGCACCCCCTCCCCAACACACCCACCCCAACAAATTACCTACATACACCCCACAAATCTCCCAAACATCAACACCAAAAACCCCCCCCCCCCAAATAATTCCAGATCCTCACTATACCCAACAAATACTCTCCCCCACCAACCTCCAATATCCTACTCCTCACAACAAAACATATATACACTCAAAAAACCTTACCTTAATGTATAACTACATCCAAACAAACCCCACTAAAATTCTACCAACAAACCCCTCAAAATATTCATATCAACCCCCCACATACCAAAAATTCATACACCTAAATAAACCCCCCATAAAAGCTCCTCAACCCCCCACCCACACTAATACCCCCTCATACATCACATCACCCCACATCCAATCCAAACCAACCCCAAAAACAACCCCCAAATCCAATATAACATCCCCCCACCCCCAATACCATCCAAAACCCTACACCCCAAACAAAAACCCCAACATACCCAAACCCCATACCCACACACAACACAAAAACCAAATTCCCCAAACATCAAAACAACCCACCGCCACATACCCCAAAAACCCAACCCACACCATAAAACCCCCCCACCCCCCCTACCCAATCAATAAGACTCCAAAAAAATACCATCTTAACACCCCCCAAAATCCTTCCAAATTAAAACCATCCATAAACTACTAAACCCCACACCAACCCAAAAAATAATTATACAATATTTTCTATTAACCCACCCAACTAACATACATCCACCCCACCCAAACCTATATGTCACACCCCCCCAAAACCAACAAAAAACACACAACCCCAACACCAAACACAAAACATTACCACCACACACCCCCCACAACTTTTCCCAATATCACAATCCTCAAAACAACCCCAAATTAAAATAAACAATCCAAACTCCTATACCACTCACCCATACACCACCATATACCCCACCACACACAATATCTATCCCATAACCCACCCAACATCCCCCACCCCACACTTCCACCACCCCCCCATTCTCCAAACACATCCTCTTTCCAAACCCCATTATACATCATCCCCACCCCCCCCCACCATTCCTTTTCCTTAAACCCCCCCCCCCAATATCCAAATAAGCAACACTCCCACACACCCACCCCCCAAAATCAAAAACCCACCCCCCAAAAACACAAATACCCCATTACTCCCAGTTACCCCCTCCCATATTAACCCAACCTACCCCCTAAACCTCCCTACATAAAACATTCTTTTACATAACAAACACCTCATCACAATTAAACCCTTCCATCTCCCCCTCCTACCACACATCCCCTAAACCCCATATATCCATCCTCATTTATTTAAAAACCCTCCCCATTAAACACACGCCCCACCATTCCACCCTTCTTCAATTCACCCCCATTCCCCCCCATACCATCCAATCTGCCACCACCATATCACAAAAAAGAACTATACCCCCCACCAAATCCCAAACAACCCATTCACTTCTCTCAATTCCTCTTTAAACCATATTACCACCTCCTCACTATTCTCATTTCCCCAACCCAACTACCATCAATAAATCACTTCCCCAATCCACCAACTTTTTTTAACCTATAACCAAACCCCCATCTTATTCTTTCCCTATCACAAACCCATCCTAACCCCCAACATTACCCATTCCACACATCCAATATATAATATACTACTTAATTTAACTTCTATCTACTAACACCAGAATTTTCCATTCTCACAATTCACTTCTACAACACAATCCCCACCCTTAACCAACTACCAACACCACAACCCTCCCACATCATAACCACCCAATACCATTTTAAACTAACACCACCCCCCCATCCCCAAAAATCCCATAATGATCTATATAATTACCTACTCCATTCAAACCCTCCCAACCCCCACCACCTATTTAACTACCAACACCACCCCATACCACACATCTCTTCCCCCCAAATACCCCTAAAAATAAATCATATTACTAACCCCCCCTATAAAACTCCCATTCTAATACATCCCCATCCCCCCACCCACCCAACACACCTATCTCCACCCACAAAACCCCCATCACACATCTTGCATCATATCATAGTCCTACCAAATACCATACTATTATCACAATAAAACAAAATCTAAAATACCCAAAAAAACCTAAAAATATTACACACTCCACCTAACCATCAACCCCACACAAATCATCCCCCCCCACCCAACCTCCCATAATACATATCACCATAATCCTTCACAACAAATCCCTAACCACCACCACATTAAATAACACACAATAAACTCCCCACTTTCTCACACATATATATTCAAAACACCCAAAAATCCAACCAACTAAATACCTTCCCCCCCAACTCCAAAAAATCCTCCTCCCACTCCCAACCCCTTCTCCATTCTTCATACTACTATCCCCCCCCACCTCCCCCACCCCAACCCAAATTTCTCTCAGCAATAATATCTACCACCTCTCCCCCACCTCCATTCCACATCCCCCATCCACATATAATACTTAACCTTTCTAATTCTCACTCCCCATAATATATAAACACAGATCCATATTTAACACCCAACTTCCTCTCCATATCATACCCATCTTTTAATCCCCATACCACCAGTAACCCATTCCCCACCATCCAAACCACCACAATCTACTAACCATACCTCCAGCACAATCAATACACCCACCATAAAAATACAACCCTAACGCTACACTTTAAATCACCTCAACCACCCAATATAATAACTATACACATCCTAATTACCTCTTATATCTCCTTCTCTCTTAAACCCTCCTATCAGACAACCATCATCTTTAAAATGACGCCCTACAAACCAAATACACACCAATTAATAGAGCTATCTCTATACATATGCGAATACCCCCTCACACACCATACCCTCTCTCCTCCCCCCTTCCCTCTCCTTCCCTATTTCCTTACCCTCTCTCCCCCACTCTCTACAATTATCACTATTAACCATCTACATATCTCTATAGATTAGATCCCCATATCTCTAATTCTCTACTATATCTTCTTATATCCAACCCAATCCTCATCTTTACATATAACAATCTCTATATTCCAAAATTACCCACATCTCCCACCCCCTCCCCCCACCCTCCCCCCTCCTCACTCACTTCTTACCCCCCTCTCTCCCCCCCCTCAATTACCTATACTCTCATCCCACATCCCTCCTTCCCCAACACTACCCCAATTATAACTATCTATTTTCCCTATCCCACTATCATCCACCTACATAATACCAACTCCCTCCCATCTTCCTCTCCTTACAACACCACCGTCCCTCTATACCCCCACATAATAATACTCATTCTTTCCCTCCCACCTTGCACATACAATCTCTCATCCACCATATCCCCCTTACTATTTTTATCTTACATACTCACATTTCCCACCAATTACAGCACCCACCTATCCTTAACCTTCCACCCTCTCCATTTCCATCTCTTTATCCAACCCGTCTCCTTTTCCATTTCCATATCCCTACCCCCCCCCCTCACTTCACCCATCACTCATCCACCCTCCCCCACCTCCCTACCCATTCCACATCATCCCACCCCAACTCATTCTATTAACCTTATCATCCCTCTAACCTCCCACAAACATGTAATCAGACCACTACTACATATATTTAATCCCCAATACACATCCCCTATCAACCCCCACCACAACCCTAACTTTTCATCCTCCCTCCCTACCCTCTCTTCCACCCTCTCTCATCACCCTCCTACCCCTATCCCACCTCTATTTAATCCTTCGCATTTTAAACCCCACCCCCGCTCCCCCCTCCAATTTAACCCCTCAATCTCCCAGTAATTCCCCCACCTTTCATCTCCTCATTAACATTCCATTTCCCACCTATTCCAACAACCTCCTTCCTCTACCCCCAACTCCCTACACCAAAGCATACGATTCTCAACCAACTTTCTCCTACCGGCTAAAAAAAACTCTTTCCCCACCCCATCCCATCATTATCAACCATACATCACTTACTCTACACCCACACATCAACCTACCCATATCTACCCCCAAACCCCTTACTCTATATTATTTTCACACCCCTCCATACATCTTCACTCCTTCCTATTACCCCATACTCCAATACTTTAACACAACCCCTCCCCACCACCCTACCACATTTAATATATTAAAACACATTCCCTACTCCTTAACCCTTTCTTGCATCAATACCATACCTATTATTCTCCATCAACATATTCACCTAATCCCAACCTCCAAAACCCAAATAAATATATCCCACCAAATCATATATTCCCTCCTACCCTATTTCCACTCTACCCATAATTACATCCCCCTCCCCCTCAACGTTACCCCTTAAATTATCATTACAAAAAACTCCCATATAACCCCCCCAAAACCCTATACTAGTTTTCTATACATAACAACTCTGCCCTCTGCCCCCCAACCCCCCAACCCTCCCACCCCACCCATCACCTTGATCTACCATATTTCCACCCCCATCCCCATACCCCTAATTCTATACCCACCCCCTACCATCCCAACATCCCCCTTCCAACACCTACAATCAATATTCCCCAACCCCCCCCCTACCCACATATAAACCCATATACCCCCCACACTATCCATTATTTAACCACCTCACCCTTACCTCAAATATAATACCAAATCACAAAACCACTCAAAACCCTCCTTCCCCTTCCTAACTCCTTACCCCCACCTTCACACACCAACCCCAAACTAATACTATCCCACCAACCCCCCATCCCATAACTACAAATAACCCAATCACCATCTACAATACCTATACACACATCACAACAACCAAGAAACAACAAACCTTAAAACATAACAACATCACAATACAAACATATTAAATCCATTAACCAATTAATCACCAACTCCATCACAATCATACAACAATCCCCCACCCCCCCCCCCATTAGCCACCCAATTACACCTAACTAACTATCCAATCCAATCTTCTTTTCCCCTCCTCCCTTAATTTCAATCTATAAAATAACCCAACTTTACCTCATTTTCACATATACACAAAATCTTATTTACACAAAATCCAACTCCCACCACACCACAACACAAACAACAAAAATAATATACCCTCTCCCCATACCATTCCACGAATCCCATAACCTAAACCCCGTCTATATCAAACAGAATATTCCCCTCACATATAAATAAACTACGACAACGTATCAAAAACTATCCATTATCACACTTATATCTTCACTCTCCCTCTCATCTCACTTAAAGTTCTACCAAAATACTCCCACCTCATTTCTATTCCCCACCCCACTCCCTATTACCCACACACTAAAATCACATACCACCATTTTTACAACTACACCACCATTCAAAGATGCCCAAATATAGCACATACCTATCACATACAGTTAAATTAACTCATATACACCCCCTATTCACTCCTCTCTTCATCCACCAATTAACTCATAATCCTAACATCCCACACCAACACTATATCCACAATACCAGGTTATTCTACCAAAGTATAACCCCATTACATTACAAAATTTTAATACAACCAATCCCACTTACACCACATATAAAATTCTATATATTCCCCTCAATACCTTACACCTTACCCCCAATAACCCCCACCTTCCACTTCCTCCATTCCCCCCCATGCTACACATACATTTCCCCTCCTCTCTTATCCTTCTCTCCTATCTCCTATTCTCCCTACCCCACCCACCCTAATCCCCTTCTCAAACCCACTATCCAATATCCTAAACCCCCTCTATACCTACTCCTACTTTCCCCAACAAAAAACCTCCCCCCACTCCTTAATCCTTCCCCCCAACCTCTAACATAACACCCCCCTACCCACCCAATCCCCCCCACCCCCATAACCTATCCCCACCTCTCATACCCACCCCCCACACCCACATACCTTATAAATCCTATATAAAACAATACCCCTACCCCTTCCCACACCCCATTCCCCACCCCCCACCCCCCCCCTATCCCATACCACACCCCACTCCTATCCTCAAATTTCATACCACCC